TTATATAAATCTGCGGTTGGTGAAACTTGATAATATTAAATACCATTATAAAATGTACAGTAATTCTATTTATATATGTTTTTTATTTTGCTCAACTATAGCCCGACAGCTATCTCTCGCACTTACTTGGACATGAGGGCAAAGGCAGCATACTCTCTGAACTACGTAAATTGGGTTGGTGTAATGAGTAAGTAATAAATTAAAAAGTTTTTTTTTTTTTTTATTATGAAGGATATTCAAATTCCGTGCAACTGAAGTTAACGTTTTTCTTATTAATTTACTTTTATTATTTTTTCACATTAATATTTAGTCTAATGGCTGGTCATCAGAATACCTTAAACGGCTTTGGTTTCTTCGAGATCGTTGTTGATCTCACGCAGGAGGGCATGGAGCATGTTGATGACATCGTCAATATTATTTTCCAGGTGCATATACATTTTATAACAAATAAAAAAAGTTAAAAAAAAAAGGATAGAGGAATTTTCTAAAATTATTTAAATATTATAATTGTTTCAGTATTTGGCTATGGTGCGCAAAGAGGGTCCAAAGAAGTGGATTTTTGATGAATATGTTAAAATAAATGAAATACGTTTCCGCTTCAAGGACAAAGAGCAGCCAGAAAATATGGTCACGAATGCAGTTTCCGCAATGCAGGTGTATAATTAGCAAAATATAAAACATGCCATTTTTATACCCTAAAAATCAAATTTACATTCAATAGATTTATCCACTTGAGGAAGTGCTTACCGCACCATATTTAAGCAATGAATGGCGTCCAGATTTGATTACGAAACTGCTTGATGAGCTTGTGCCGGAAAAATGTCGCATCGTGCTAATTGGCCAAAGTTATGAGCCATTGTGTAACGAAGTTGAACCGTATTACAAAACTAAATATGGCTCATACAAAATTGAAGCCGAGACATTGCGGGTGAGTAGGCAGCAAACACACACGAACATAATTTGTATACTCTTGCAACATACTGCTACAGAGTACAATAGTTTTGTGCAACTAACGGTTGTATGTATCACCTAAAACTAATCGAGTTACACAACGGTTTTCGAATTTCTAAGTGACTATACCGGCTATATCGGCCAATATGTGAGTTATCTTAATAAAATTGAGAGAGCCTGTTTTTCTTATAAGTGTGCATCTTTGTGCTTAGAATGTATAAAGTCGGGTAAAACTCGCCCTAGACCTCATATAACTAACAAACCTTATGTGTCTGAAGGTTCTTTCCTGGCTTTAATTCTTGCAAGTTACATGAGTGCGAAATTGTTGAACTTAGCTATTCCTTACCTCTTTTGTTTTTATAATTCCTTAAAAAAAGTTTTTTTTTAAATTCCTAACTTTTATATTTTTTATAATACCTAACCTCAAATATTTTTTAATAATTGCTAACCTCAAATATTTTTTTTATAATTCCAAACCTCAAAACAATTTTTTCTAATTCCTCAGCCCTTATATACCTGAAGGTACTTTCCTGGCTTTAAACCTTGCAACTTGAGAAAGTATGAAACTTAACTTAGCCCGAACTTAGCTTTGCCTTACTTGTTTTTCTTTGGTTCTATAATTCCTAACCTGAAACCTTTTTTTTATAATTCCTAACCTTAATTTTTTGATTATTCTTAACCTCAAATACTTTTTTATAATTCCTTACCTGAAACACTTTTTTTATAATTCCTTACCTTAAAATTGTTTTTTTTTATAATTCTTACCCTTAAAATTTGTTTTATTTTATAACTCCTCACCTTAATTTTTTTTAATTCCCAAACCCAAATAATTTTTTTATTATTCCTAAATTAAATTTTCTTATTACTCCTAACCTCAAATATTTTTTTTAAATCCTAACCTCAATTTTTTTTTTCCTATACCTAACCTTAAAATTTGTTTTTTTTTTTCTGTGTGATTCCTAACCTCTAATATTTTCATTCAACAGCGCTGGGAAAATTGTGGTCTCAATGAAAACGTTGCGCTGCCGCTACCAAACGCTTTTATACCCACAAATCTCAATTTAGCGCCGGAGGATGCGGATTTATCGAAACATCCCATCATTATAAAGGACTCGCCAATCTTACGTGTGTGGCATAAACAAGACAACCACTTTTTGAAGCCCAAAGCCTGCATGACTTTTGACATGTCCAATCCAATTGCCTATCTCGATCCGCTTAATTGTAATTTGAATCAGTTAATGGTTTCACTGCTCAAAGATCAGTTGAATGAATATTTATACGATGCAGCTTTGGCGGGTTTAAAGCTAGAAGTGAACACTAAGTCGTCGGGTATCGAGGTTTGTGCGCACGCTAAACATTTGAAAGTAAAATATATATAATTATGTGCTTTTCTGCAGTTTTCTATACGCGGCTACAATGACAAGCAGCTGGTACTGTTAGAAAAAGTGTTGGATCATTTATTCGATTTCAAAATCGATGAGAAACGTTTTAATATATTGCGCGAAGATTTCATACGTTCGCTGAAGAATTTTAAGGCCGAACAACCTTACCAACATGCCATTTATTATCTGGCTTTAATACTTACGGAGAACGCTTGGGCCAACAGCGAATTGTTGGATGCGATGGAATGTGGGTTAACTGATTTTATATTAAAAATTACATATATAAACTAAATACTATGTATAGTGGTTACCTATGATCGTGTTGTGAATTTCGCGCGTGAATTTTTCCAACGCCTACACACGGAATGTTTTATTTATGGCAATGTGACCAAGGCGCAGGCTCTGGATATTGCAGGACGTGTCAATAAGCGCTTGGAGAAAACCAATTCGATTGTGTTGCCGCTGTTGGCACGGCAGATGCTCAAGAAACGCGAGTACAAATTGTGTAGCGGTGAGTGGACTGTCAAGAGATTTTATGAAAATTATATATACATATGTCGTTGCTAATTGTCTTTACAGGCGACAGTTATTTGTTTGAGAATCAAAATAAGTTTCATAAAAGTTCTTGTTCACAACTGTATTTCCAATATGGCCCACAAACGGATCGTTCCAATATTATGTTAAATTTAATTGCGCAAGTTTTATCGGAGCCATGCTATGATGTGTTGCGTACAAAGGTGAGCGATTCAAATATTTTTAGTTACTTTATTATTAGTTATTACTAGTGCTTTACTATATTTAAAATTTATAAAATATACATATATCGAAGTAACATCTTTATAAATGTAAACTTTTATTACTACGAAGAAATGTATTTGTAGAGCAGTGGGCAAGCCTTTGAAAATGGTGAAAAGTGAAATACTTTTAAATGCATAGGTTGCAAATCCATTGACAGTGAAAAATGAAATAACAAAAATTGAGGTCTGTAGAGGAGGGGCATGGTTGAATGTCTCAGAGTTTCAGAGTTAAAAATGGTTTTTCCCGATTTCCCGTTCTAGAGAAAAGATCTTCAACTTTTATACATCCAACTTTTTAACATAACCTCAAAAATTCCAATATCCAAGTTTTGGAATTTTTATTTTTATCTTGTAGGTTTTTTTTTTAGAGAAAACTTATATGTCAAATGCGAAAATCTACAACTTCGGAATTTCCAACTTTTTCACATAACCTCAAAATTTTTGTGAAAATTACAAATATTCATATAAAAAATGTTTCCAGGAAGTTTAGTGAAAATTTAACTTCTTATGGCCCAAACACAATAAATTTTCCTAAGTAAAATCCCTATATTGACTTAAAATAAAAAAATTGCAATAAAATATTCTCACATCAACAATTCCGAGTTTTTTAAAAAGTCAGTAGGCTTCATATGTATATGTTGAAATCTCTACGTTTTGATAATATAAAAATATACGTAAGTATGGTATGTACATATGTATGTACGTACCTATAGTAAATTCAAAAAAATCGCCTATATATTATTTTATCTTTAATTTTTGTTATTTTAGCTTTCCTTTCCAATGATTTTCATGCTGCTATGATTTTTTTTTTTTGCTTAAAAAAATTATCTGCCCCAGGCTGTTAACATTTTTTAACTAAATTTTCAATTGTATTTCGTTTTTTGAAAAAAAAACACTGTTTTCTATGAATTTAAATTTTTGAAGTGTATTATTTGAATTTTCTTGCCTATAACTTTTATCAAAATGAGTTTGTTTCACCTCTTCAATGCTGTAAATCAGATAACTACGGCATGCGCCTAAATGTAGGCAATATTTAAGTTAATCAAGTGCGTTTAGCAGTTGAGCGCTGCTTAATGAAGAGTGTCAGTCAATGTAAAACTCAATTTGGAAGCTTTTAGTTAATACAAAAATATGAAAAAAAACCAAAACAAAATATTTAAAAATAGCTCACTATTTATAGTTATCAGAGTTAATATTTTCAGAAGCGTTCTAATAACTTTATATTTGGTTGAGTGATTGGTTGAATGTCAGCGCCAGTTCGCACGTGGCCGCACTTAAGCCATCATGAGGCTCTTTGTACTCGCGGTTGGTAACTACGTAAAGCCTTAGCCAACAACTCAGTGAATTTGGTAAAAAATTATGATTTTTTCCCACACCATCTGCCTTGTCATGTTCCTTTATTAGGAGCATTAAGAGCCATATAATAATAGTTTGTCAAAAAAGTTTTGCCTATTTTTATTGAATTTTTTTCAATTTTCAATTGTTCATAATGGAAACTGTATCGGGTCCATAAACGGCACAAATTTTATTGGCGGCTTGAGATGCATTTTTGCCTTTATCGTAGTAGTACTGTAAAATATGCCGTATTTTCTCTTTATTTTGCTCCCGATTCAACGAATAAAACTACGCGTTCTCAGCGCCAACTAGCGAAAATACCGCAAGACTTTTTTGACAAACTAATATTAATTTTAATGCACTTTTTTTTTTGTGAAAAGTCTTCCACCGACCAAGATCACCACGTGATGTCTATTATTTAGCGTTGCCACATGAGTATTATTCACTTGACTTCTAATTTAAAATTTATAACATTTATTTCTAAAAACTTTAAAGCAAATGTTATTCCATATCCGTTCTATCAGAAAGAGCCACACATTTTTTCTTTTGCTGCACTGAAATTTTTTTATTATCACGAAATTTTATATCCCATTATTAACCATTCGTTTTGTTAAACTATTTCGCACCACCTTGACCTTGAGCACCACCCTGTGCTCCTGCGCTTGCACCAATGCTGAATCCCATACCAGCGCCCATCATACCACCCATACCGCCACCTGGCGGGCCTTGTGGTGGTCCCTGTGCGGCGCGACGATAGCGACTTTCTATGGCTGGCTTTTGAGGTGCTTGTGGTGGTCCTTGTGGTGGTCCCTGTGCGGCGCGACGATAGCGACTTTCTATGGCTGGCTTTTGAGGTGCTTGTGGTGCTCCTATTGGTGGTCCTTGAGCGGCACGACGAGAACGGCTTTCTATAGCGGGCTTTTGTGGCGCTTGTGGTGGTCCTTGTGGTATGGGCTCAGCATTTGTCGTGTACTGTAAAGTGAATTACGACTTCATATTATTGATTTCCCTTATTATTAAAAATATTGAACGATTTATTACATACCAACAATGCTGCCAAAGCACAACAAACACAAGCGGTCAAAATTAATATGCGCATCTTTGTTTCAAGAACCTCTCTGTACTTGCTTGAACTGTCGTCACTTGAATACTACTTTCCCAATCACAGCGCCAATCCAGTTTTTATAGTGCTGCTACCAAATAATAATTTTCCATAGTGAAGATCGTATCTTATATTGAAAGTATGTTTGTTTCTAAATTCAACACGCAATGCCATATCGTTCGAAATGCAATTATTGGTATTTAATTTGTTGAAAATTATAAGAACAAATTTTTAAAAACTAATTAAGTGATAATAATCCGATGTTTGTTTAATTGTCATAAATTTATGTGCATTAAATTTTTAAATAACCCTACATAATATACATATTTTGTGAGGAATTTTCAATATGCGTTAACATATTTTCGAAAAGCACTTTAAAAATCATTTTAGAAAACTTGTGTAACAGCAGCATAACGGTTTAATCATAGAGTTTTAAATTTAATAATTAATTTAATAATTATTTAATTAGTGGAAGGTAGCAATTTTAAAGCTTTTTCAAGTTGTATGGGTTTAAATAATAATCTAAGTTACATAAGCAAGAGCTTTCATGATTTGTGACTATATTTATACCTGATAGAACGAGTTACGTGGGTGCATAACGACAAGTCATGTGCAAAACGGTTGATCAGAAGTACACAAAATTCTATTGGTACGCCAGCAGGATGGTGCTGACAGATCGAGAAGTCTGTAGCAAAGTTTAGAGCAGGGCATAAGGGAAACAATGGGGCATCTCTTGTGCACTTGTCCTGCATTGGCAAGACTACGCTGTAAGCATCTGATGTTCCCATGGTATGATACTCTGGAGGAGGTATCGATAGTGCGGCCGCAGAGTTAGTTAAAATTCGCGTAAAACGCAGGCGTCGTAAAGGAACTACTCCTTTTGGATATAGCAACTAAACTCCACCCGGTAACGCAAAAGATCATACTGGTCTATGCTTATTGCTCTATCAAATTAACCAAACCTAACTTATAACCTGAATAGGTTATATTAAGTTTGCTACAATGTAATACACAGAACGAAACAACAGTTTTTGTGATTTTGGTGAGTACCTGCCGTTGCCGGCCTAACCCCACGGTGCTTAAAAGCACATAGAACAAAACAATGCGTTGGCATGATTTTTGCAAATATCATTCAAAGTCGATAATATCAGTTCAAGCTGAGTATTATAGCACTATTACTGACAAGAATATTCTGTAATTCCGAGGCAAGTCAAAGAAACAGACATACCTTACCTTATGACGGTCCGTCTGTCCAACTGCCAGTTCCTCAGTTTTTGATATATCGATCTGAAATTTTGCATACGACCTTCTTATTCGACGACCATATCAGACCACTATTGGGTATAGCTGCCAAACAAACTGAACGATGAAAATAAATATAATATATACTATTCTTAATGTCAGGGGTACATTTTCCGAACATAGCATTTAGCTGTGATACAAACTGACCTATCAAAAACAAAACCAAAATTTGTTATACCCTTTATGCTATAGTAAATGTACATGAGAAGGATATCGGTGCAATTTTATGAAAGCTTTTTCTTGTTCTGGACTCATATAGGTGCTCATAAGCTTGTTATAGCAACAATAAACGTTCATCACATTTTTTTTAGTAGAGTGTAACTGCGGTAATATCCAAATAAAGGGTGATCCAATTCGAAGTACCCTGCTTTTTTAAAGAAAAAAACACAGAAACTTAAAATTTAATGAAATCTTTATTATTATTCGAAACAACATTCCTTGGCTTTTTTTTTGTGAAGATTATCCCTTTAAATTGTTGTACCGTTGAATCCAATTTTCGATGACTCGTTCAAGCATTTCGACTGATAACCATCGAATGACACGCGTGATATTTCACTTAAGACTTTGAATCGAAACGAAATTGTCCGCATAGAGTTTAGACTTTACTTATCACCACAGGAAAAAGTATAACGTTGTGATATCACACGATCTTGGTGGCCATACCATACAGTACACGGCTGTATCGCGCAAGTTATTTCCGTATTGACATGCAATTATATTCGGGAAATTATTTCCGCGATGCAGCCGTGTACTGTGCGTTGTAAAATTACCTGAGCGACAAATTTATTCAAGAAGAAATTTTTATCGAGTCTTTTCCGAGCAATGCTTAGATGCTGAACTTACTGAGTTTATTATATTGTTAAATATATTATTATTAAATTATTATTATTAAATATATTATTATTAAATTATTACTATTAAATAAAATATCTATAATTGTTTCTGCGCTGCTCTGTTTTATTGCTTTTTACAACTACAAATTGCATAAAATATATAACAATATGCTGCATTAATGACCACCCTGTCCACTTCCCTGTGCTCCTCCGCCCATATTAGCACCCATACCAAATCCCATTCCAGCACTTGCGCCACCTCCGGCACCACCGCCACCGCCCCCGCCTTGTGCCGCGCGACGGAAGCGACCGGTTAGACTCTTACCGCCACCAGGCATTTGTGCATTTGTTGTGGACTGTAAAATGAATCAAATATTTTATTAGGTATTAGAAAAAATTAATGTACCGTAAATGTCCTTTTTCAGTCCTTGCACTCACCAATATAGTCGCCAATATGGTGCAAAGCAAAGCAATCAATATTATGAATTTCATGTTTCCGTTTAAGCTTGACTTTGTAAGCTAGTAGTGAATTTAGAACTATACAACAGCGCTGTGTCCACAGCCACTTTTTATAGTTTAGTTTCTGAGAAATGTAATTATGATTTGTTTACGTTTTGTCAAGTTTTAATTGCATGTGATTTTTGTACTGACATGCAATATGTAATTAGGCTGATGAGCTTGATAAGGATCTGAAATAACAGTTATTTTTAAGGCTGTTATTTAACTTTTCTTTAAATAGTTAAATGGAAATGTTTCGTTAAAAAAATGTACCATAACACATGACACACATGACATTCTCAACAAAGTTTAAACAGCTGATAGAAATTGTTCCCACAAAACATTGACAGTCTCTTATGGAACGAATATACGCATTTAGTCATGACGAGAATACTCTGACCAGAAAAAGCTATACATACATATACATATATACAATAAATAATAAGTAATTACAAAGTTCTCAATATTCCACACTGTAGCCTTCAAGGGTGATACACGGATTATAGTGAGTTTCCAACTGTTTAATACGAATCATAGTTCTATAGTACAGTATATATTTTGCTTCGAAGTAGGCCTTAGCTTAGATTAATTTTCGCCGATCAGCTTACACAAAAGTCCATTGTGGTACGGAGAACTTCTATATAATACTTAGACCACAAGAGCTTATCACAAATTTGTTGAGACGGCTAATGTAGTTTCGGTTATGTCTTCTGCTTTAGCAAAGGTAAAACTATCGGGATGTTTCAGCCTCAGTCTTGCAAAGGCTGGAAAATAGAGGAGACAGTACATACCTGAATGTTTTTATCTTCACACTCCTCCATACAACTTTACCAAAAAGCGTCCAACAAAACCTAACGCATTAACGCCTATTGAACAGTGTCCAGTAAGAACCCTTACGATTGCTGCTATATGAACTTTGCCAAAGACAAATAGTTCAGTAGATCTGCTGCTTTCTACTCTAGGCCAAAAGAATGTAGACCTCAAACTGACCAATTATTTCAAGCTTTCTGGACCTAAAAAAGGTGTAATTTTGAAATTTTGAGCAATTGTTTCCAAGCTTTCCACTACCTTAAGTACATAATAGAGATCTTTCGTAAAATTGAGAAAAGAAATAATATTGTTAACATAGGCACAACCATCAATCTCGTTCTTTCATAAGATTTCGCGCCTTTGAATTGGGAGGCTAAGAGCAAAGCCGAGGGAGTTTTTGCCCGAGCTTGTCCGCAGATACTTTTAGTAAAAATTCTGTACCATTTCTTATCTCTCCTCTTTCTAACAGAATTGAAGAATCATCTATCTCTGAATTTCTATGTATTGTTCCTATTGAGAAATATATATATAAGTGATTTGCAGATCTTGGTTTTTATGTCCATTATGTCTAGGCACCAGTCTAAACCACAGTACTTGGTGATGTGTTATCTATGGATATCGTAAAGTACATTTCTCTTTTGCCTTTATTCATCTTATATATCAGATATCTTTGGCGGCGATGATGTCACAATTGCTTAACTGAGAACATCAACATCACTGGTCAGTACTTTCGTGGTTACACGTTACTTCTAGCATAAAGTGAAATGCAAGTCATCTAATGGATTCCTGATTTACAGCAATATTGGTAAATGCCTAATGGTAGGATTTCTGACAAGAAATTGTTCGATTGGCACCCAAGTGGTAAGCTTAATAATCTTGCCGGTTGCCAATTGTCGAAGAGGATTAGTTAGTAGGGTTAAAATCCTCTGGCTTCCTTATTTTCTAACCTCCAGCTGAATTCTAGCTAGGGTCGAAAACAAAGTATAGCAGATTTGTAAGGAACTCAAGACCATTCATAGTTTCATAAAGGTTTAATCTAACTTCATATGCATTTTTGAAAACATAACTTACCTGATAGACCTGTTTGTAAGAGACTAAGTGTGTGATGGCGATCGAAAATTAGTTTTAAGATCTAGCTTAACCAAAATCGACATTTTATTCGTCGTTGAGATCAATCTAGTTTTATTTCGATGCTAATAAGTATATTCGACAAAAAATACACCATTAAATTAAAATATCTCAATATGTATCTGTACTGCTCTGTTTTATTGTATTAAATATTTGAACAAGAAAAAAATTAATGGCCACCCTGACCACCTCCTTGTGCTCCTCCACCCATATTAGCACCCATGCCAAATCCCATACCGCCACCAGCACCAGCACCACCACCTGCACCGCCGCCACCGCCTTGGGCTGAGCGACGTGCACGATCGATTAGGCCATTATTACCACCAGGCATTCCAGGCATCCCAGGCATTTGAGGCATTTGCGGCATTTGGGGCATTTGGGGCATTTGAGCATTGACTGAGTACTGTAAATATATTAAATATGAAAAGTTGGTTATTTTTGATTAGGCAAATAAATAAACAAAAAAAAAAAATTCTTTAAATATTTTTAAAATTCGTTCATATTGACAAAATCATTTTATTAATCCTTTAACTCACCAACATCGCTGCCAATACCGTGCAAATCAAAGCAACCATTGCTAGGCACCTCATTTTCCCAGTCAAATTCGAAGACCTTTTTGAACAGTAGTGAATTTCAAACTATCTAAGTCGAATGTCTTTGTACTCCCTTTTATAGTTAGACTACTTTAGACTTCATATGAATGTAGATGAAACCTCAATGATTTATATAAACACGAAAATATGAATTTTTTCCGTTTTGTAAGGGAATAATTGTTTGTGATTATAACTGTAACATGCAACGTTTATTTTCTCACCAACAAATCTTGATAAGAAATGTTTAAACCGCTGTCTTGTTATTAGCATTTTTGTAATTTTTATTCCCTGAGTTTAAATCAGTCGCGAAGATATAAATAAGAATATATTTCTCGTAAATAGCGGTTCCTTTCAAGTTAAACAGCTTTGGGCGAGTTCAGTTCGGTGTTCAGTGCTCCAGTCGTTTTTTCCCCATCCTTAGTTGATACCAATTTGTAGCACCAAGTAAAGTCAAGAACTAATGAAGTGGGTACTTTCTGCATAGAAGGGTCTCACTATCTCCGTTTTACCATTAGCATATGAAATACTCACTGGACTAGGGGCATTAACGTGTGCTACATCCATTCTATATCGATTTTATTCTATCTGACGATCGATAAACTTCCTGGAATCTATTTAGTTTTGAAAAAGGCTATGTTTTGGTCATGGCAAAGATCTCAGTTCAACTACAAATTTCCTCATCTCATACGCATTGTTTTCAAAGTTGCTAGGTTCGTAAATTTGTAGAAAAATGTTAGATATGGTGTTCTTGTATACCGCTTTCTTCTAATAGTGAATGGGTCTAAATCGATAAGTTTTAGTCTAGGCATTAGGCTCAAACAGTACTCTGTGAAGTGTTCTCATTTCCTTCATATGAGCGACGCCGGATTAGCGCCGAAGTGGTTGTCGTAAAATACATTTGACTTTTTCCCTAATTTATATAAATCAGAGCTCTTAGGCGGAACTGATGTTGGCCTTGCTTAACCAATCAGTCAAGCAAAAGCAATAGTAGCCCTCGAAATGTTCGCTATAATAGTCTTCAAACTAGGGATCGCCAGAAGCTTCAGCAGCATCTTACACTTAAAACAAATATTTATCTTGGAGTACCCAACTGAAGCTCACTGTCCTTCACATGGTAGCTTTACAGCAACTCGAACACCGAAGTTGAGTGAACATGTGAAAAAAGTAGCATATATTATATATATATTTAATTATTCATCAATATTTATTTTGTCAAACGATTCCCACCAGATGTAATACACTCATGTCAACGATTGTTACTTTTCGATTGTAGAATCATTTATATGAAACTTGGTTGTCCCTTTTAATGTGAAATCGTTGCCAAAAGTACCGCTAAGATTTATTGTTTCAAGTGTTCAATGACCACCTTCTCCATCGCCTGCTTGGCCACCCATATTTGCGCCGAAACCGAAACCCATTCCACCACCTGCACCGCCACCGGCCTCTTGCGCAGCACGACGATTCATATATCTCTTGGGTTGAATTTGAAACTTTGGTCTTTCAGTTGTAACTGGCGTTTCAGCACTGCATCGGTGCTACATAATATAGTTTGAGTTGTTAGTATAGCTACTTGAAATTATTAATATTTTTTTCCATTTTATTTACCATCATAATGCCCAATACGGTGCAAATAGCAGCAATTAGCAATAGACTACGCATATTTTTGGCACAAATTTTAATACTTCGTAACCCTGCGGAGGCAATCCAATACTACTTTTTGACGATGCTGCCAAAATATTTTATAGTTTCGCTTTAGAGTTTATAGTATTTACAACAATTTAACGGAAATAAAAGGTAATTTGTTTAAATTTTGCAATAAAATGTGTTACAATATTTATGCGATAACAACGCTTTGGTTAATTACATGATGTTAATTACAAGACTACATTATGTAGTACATTTTACTTAGTTTTAATTTTTTTAGGAATTAATCTACTATAATTATTACTACTAATTGAATACCTATTTTTTAAAACCGCCATAGACGAGTGCCTGAAGGCCAGAGTTACCCTTCGAGGGATCGTGTGGATTCAGATTAAGGGGTTACATGGGTTTCACAGTTTCAAAAAATCGAATTTTTTTAAATTAAATTCTGCAACATCTCTAGATTACTGTTTGTCCTAAATTTTCAAGTTGATCCGACTAATAGTTTCGGGGATACAACCTTGAAAAGGTGGACGCTCGAGGTCAGGTATAGGCTGAGGGCGCAGTAGGTTTTTCTCAAAACTATGTTTTCAAAGTCGTTTGTCAAGATTTCTGGCGAACTATTTAACCCATCTTTATGAAATTTTACACAGGTCTTCGAGATATCATTTACAAGGTCTTGAATGAAGGATTTTTTTTGAATTGCAACTAAAAAAAAAAATGTCGAAAAATTTTCATCGAAATTTGCATTTTTTTTATGAAAACGTCTGCCAAAAATCCAATTTTCATGTTTTTTTGTTTTCCTTCGTCCAATACCTAGTTTATTGTCTTTACTAAAACACGTATTTTTATTTTTATTTGAGATGATCCTGAAAGAATTTCTGCTGACAACGCGGATGCACCCTTTTTCCGAAAGACTGCCGGAAATAGCGTCGTAATAACTGCCATTTTGATATTTTTTTTTTAAATTTTACAAAATGTTTTTTAAATATGAGTCTTTTAAATAAAAAAAAAATTCATTAAAATATTTCATTTTTTGTAAGTAAAAAAAATTATGGGAAAAAGGCCGTTTTTTGTCCAATTAAACCCATGTAACCCCTTAAGTATCGCTGTGGAATTTAGAATTTCGAAAAATATTTTTTTAATTTAATTTCATTAAAATATTTCATTTTTTGTAAGTAAAAAAAATTATTGAAAAAAGGCCTTTTTTTGTCCAAGGAAATCCATGTAACCAGTTAAGTATCGCTGTGAAATATAGAATTTCGAAAAATATTTTTTTTAATAGAAAAGGTTTTCCACTTAAAGTTTTGTTAAACCCTGAAGTTCTTAATTCACTGTATTTTTTTGTTGCTCCCAACACTCGACGCGTCCGAGAGGGACAGCTCGTTTAACGATTTCGCTAAATGTTGGTGCTGCTCAAGTGCGAGGCTTCTTACCGAGGGAGGATTTCCTCGCTTGCGACCACTGTCTCTTAAGTATACGTAGGGACTTACTCGAGCTCACTGAAGTGCCGTCCTCGAAGCTGCTAAGCACCTTTCTAGCCCAATCGTGTGTTGGTATACGCTCAGATTACTAATTTCTGGGTCAAATTGTGCCAAAATTCAGCTTCAACGTATCCTGCAACCACTTGTTTTGGAGTGTCCTGACTAAAACTTACTCGCCTTCAACCTAGGCATCACACGAAAGGGTTACAACTACACCTATCGCACCGAATATGAGCGAACGTGTGAAAAAACTAATCATGATAAATAAACTCTCAATCGCACAGTTTTTATTGAATTTTGGTACGATAGGTAATAGCTACATATATATTTGACTAAACTTCTATTTAATATAATAAAAAATAGCACACTTTGTTTAAACAATAGAGTCGGGTAGGCTGAAAAGTAGAATATCACACAAGTAGACTATATTTGCCGCTGATATCTAGCGCGATTAGAATGCTTTATTTATCATTCACATATTTTGTAAGATTATTGGTAAATTTTCATGTATTTGAGTTTGTGAGTTCGAATGAGAATGGAATATGTGAAGTTTCGTTGTCCTTTTCAATATAAAATCCTTGTCAGAAGTATCGCTTATTCAATGACCACCTTGTCCACCTCCTTCACCGCCTGCTTGGCCACCCATATTCGCACCGAAACCGAAACCCATGCCGGCACCAGCGTCACCACCTGCACCGCCACCGCCACCTTGCGCAGCACGTCGAAACATGTATCTCACGACTTGAATGGACATCTTTGGATTTTCCGTTGTAACTGGTGTTTCAGCATTGTATCGATGCTAAATAAAGTAGTTTCTGTTATTAGTACATGTTACTTGAAATAATTAATTTTTTTATTTTTTTTATTTACCATCAATATGCTCAATACGGTGCAAATAGCAGCAATTAGCATTAGACTACGCATATTTTTGGCACAAATTTTATTACTTCGGAAGCCGGTTTAGACAGCTCTATACTACCTCACGGCGTTGCTACCAAAACATTTTATAGTTTCATTTTAGAGTTTATATAGACATTTTTTGCAATAAAATGTGTTACAATGTGTATGCGATTTGTGTACTGATATTCCACACCTTTTTGGTTAATTACGTGATCTTAATTACATGATTGCATTATGTGGTACCGTTCACTTTACAATTTGTTGAAATTAGTCCACTAAAAGTATTACTACTATTCCAAAGGATAAATTTCAAAACCGTCATGGCGACCATTGTTACAAACTGAACGAAGGAGTACAGACTTGACCTTAATATTGCAGTCGATGGCGTCACGATTCCGACTGTCAATAATTTTTAAGACACCTAAGATTTTAGGTGTAATTTTAGTAGTAGTATTATCTAGTATTTAGTCTATGGTCCTTCACTCCTTATATGAGTGACCCTTGTACACCTTCGTTCTAGATACTGTAGCAAATTGAACTCTTACTTTTCCAGAATAGACCCCAATATATCCAATATATGTCCTGCGTGCAATGAGTGCAATTTTTTTTTTTAAAATTCAAAACTTTTTCCCTGTTAAATTTTGTTAAACCTTATAGTTTTCACACCACTGATTTTTCCATAAATTGGGTTCTATACAAGTAGATCTATGTCGGTTTTACGGCTATGCGACAGTGACACCAGGCACATACTCCTTCATTGCCATACTGTCGCATGAAGAAATAGTCAGCCTATCTGCACAATGAATCTGATGAGCGATCCAGATCCAATAAACCAGGAGCTTCACTAAGCCTCCTTCGATTGTGTTAAATGAAATGCTATAATAATAGCAGTAGGCTGTGTATTACTCTACTTTTATCTAATCTGATACGATAGAGACGTCGATTTAGCCATATCCGTCCGTGTCACGTTAAGGGACCAGTCAAAATCAACTCCTTCTATGGCAAACTTTTTTATCTGATCACTTGTTTAAGGCAACGGTACAATCTACAAGCAAGTTGAGATCTTGTATGTTTTTTTTTTTTTTTTKTATTTGTGAAGGGTATTCTAGCTTCGGTGCAACGGAAGTTAAGATTTTTTCTAGTTCTTTACTCTTTTTTAAAAAACATTAAAAATAAATATACCAATATTAATTACTTCGTCAATTACTCGTGTGAATTACATTGCCATCATTAGTTAATAAATAAAAAGCCACAGTGAAAATTTGCAATCAAAAATATTCAAGGTGTCGATTGTAAACAAACAACAGTTATGATACTTTGTTTAACAATTTTGTTGACAAATTGTATAAAGTAATCATGAGATATCAATCTGGTTGCTAATGCAGCATTCAGCTATAAATGATGATATACGAACACGCTAATAAATAATTTGAGGTTATAAATAATTTCTATTGTATAATTATTATTGTATATGTTTGAATATTTGAAACGAAAAAATTTTAAATTTACTACACAATTTAAGCATCATAATACTGCTAAAATATCTAATTAATTAATACTAATTATTCACTTAAATAAATAAAAAATCCATAACAGGAACAACTAGGCTACATAGTCTTCAGTGGCATACGCAAAGTAAACGGCGCTAATGGCATACGCATTATAGTACAATCCTCAAAGCATCCATCGTTCGTCGAGGATCGCATTGAAAGCTTCTTGGAAAATTATTTGGTAAACACTTAAAAACTTAAACAAATTTAGAGAATTTTAAAAGTAATTTTCACTCTTTTGTACAGCAAACCATGGAGGAAATGCCGTTGGATGAATTTGAACGCCATAAAGACGCTTTAGCATTGAAAAAGTTGGAGAAGGCCAAAAATGTTACACAACAGTTCCATCAATTCTATAATGAAATTTCTGTGGGACAATATCATTTCGAACGCGATGAAGCGGAAGTGGCGATTTTGCGTAAAATTACGAAGGAGGAGTTTTTGGAGTGCTTCAAGGTAGGTTCCTAAGTGGAGGAGATTTGTGAAGAAAATATTTACTTAAGTAGTGAAAGCAGAATGTATGAGAAAAAAATCTGGTGAAAATACGGGAGTTTAGAGATAGAGGGAGAGTATTTTTATAGTGTTACCAGGGTCATAAAAAGAAATTCCGGAACCGGGAATGAATGTAGTGAATTGTTGGAGAAAAAAATTGGTATAGAGCAACTAACCCCCGCCAATAACTTTGAACCCGGAAACATTTATGTTGTTACCAGGGCCATAAAGAGAAAACAGGATCAAGGTATAGGTGTGGTGAATTTTTAGAGAAAAATATTGTTATAAAACACCGGACCCTCCTGAGAACTCTGAGCCCGGAAGAAATCATCTCCCATTTTATTTCGTTCACTGAGTGTTACAGCAATATCTTGGCATACTACGGTCCTTATGACCCTAAAAGTTTTTTTGTTGTATTCTATAACCGCTATGGGCAGATTCTAGTTATACTTTCTTATTTCGTACCTAATCTATTCTTATAACCAAATAATGATTTTTCCGTGCTAACTCTGATAACCCTGGGTGCGAAGGACTTGTCCGCAATCGCCCATTTTCTTCCCTTCACTGAGTTTTACAACAACATCTTTGGATGCGTCGGTCGGTATGTCCATAAGAGGTTCTTTTTTGTTGTATTGAATAAGCGCGGTGGCCGGTTTCGTTATATAATTTCTTATTTTGTAGCTAATGTATGCTTATAACTAAAAAAATGAGTCCTCCTCTTACTTATTTCACAGAGCTTTATCACTCGTGACGGCCCCGAACGTCGTGTACTCTCCGTGCATATTATCTCTACACAAACAAATGAAGTGGATAACGAAACTGACGCGACCGAACCAGAAATAACAAATATGGAAAGACACGAGAAAATCACTGATTTGGAAACATTTAAATCAAGCAAAGAATTATATCCCATTTGCTTGCCAGTATTGGATATTAAAGCGAAAGGGGCTCGTAGTAAATTATAAATATTTTGAAAATAATTAAAATAAATAAATAACTTACAAACCTGTATACAAAACTAACAACAACACTTTATTGGCTAAATTATTCGCTTTTAATTATTAAGAAAAAGGAATAGCAAGACAAAAAACAAAAAAAGCAAGAACAACAAAAAGAAATATTGGTTAAACTAAAGCTAACTGTTGATTTCGGTGAGTTGCATTATTTTTTTAATTTTTATTTATATTTTTTTAATATTGTTGTTTTATTTTATTTTTTATTTTTTTGTTTTTGATTTTAATTATTTTTTTTTTATTTTTTTATTTATTTTTTTTGATTTTGTGCTATTTAAAACTATTTGTATAAAAAACACACATTTATTAAGCAACTATTGCTTTCACAAATTTTTTACACCTGTTGAATGTCTATGTACCGCAAGTCCGCTTGTTATAATTAAACTTAATAAATTAATAAGTAAGTAAAATGCAAGTTTTCATCAAGTTATCAATCAAAAGTCGTAAAAAAATTTATTAAATTCCAAAATTAGACAACAAACGTTTTACTAAATTATACACATATACATACATATTTAATTAGTGCAAAATTATATAAACTTAGCAAGAATGCAGTTATAAATAAAGAAAAATTTGTATTAACAGCGAATCGTTTTTGATAAATGGACTGTTGAGTAGCGCGCTGCTCGGTATGAGAAAGCCGGACTCAAGATTGTGTATTTCTTGTGAAATTAAATCCTTTGAGCGTTGATTGTGCTGTGAAAATGAAATGAGATACATAAATGTATGACAATTACCGAAATTTAATTAATTAAAAAAAATATTTGTCCAGCATATTAAATGTTTTTTTATATTTTCAAAAAATAAATCAAATAATTAGAAAACTTAATTCTTTATACCAAAATTGGCAAAAACTAATTTAAAAATTTTTCACCCTGGTAATAATACAACTTTTTTTTTAAATCGGTTATTCTGTCTCTTATACACATCTAGATGTGTATAAGAGACAGTTCAAGATGTTTGGGATTAATTAAAAATTTTATTTAAATTTAGTTAAAATATTAAACATTTATTTTCTTTTTTTTCAAGATATACAAAATATATAAAAACTCTGAAAATTTAATTATTAATCTCAAAGTTTGAAATTTCAAAATTTAGTACTAAGTTTCGGAATTGGAAAATTTAATTCTGAAATGTATTTTATAATTAAACATTTTTTAATTCAAAAATCTCCACCCTGTTTGCACAATTGTCCCAAAATTTGAAATAATTGCAAAATACTCTGGTTACAATACAGCTTTTTTCGAAAATATTTGAGATTAATTAAAAATTTAATTTAAATTTAGTTAAAATATTAAATGTTTATTTTTTTTATTTTCAAGAAATACAAGATATAAAAAACATCTGAAAATTTAATTCTTAACCTCAAAACTGCAAATGAAAAAATGCATATAATTTAAAATCCAAAATTTTTGACTTCAAAAATCTCAACCCTGGTTACAATACAAGTGTTTTCCAAAATTGGCTCCCAAATTTGAAAAGTTGTAATCCAACATCTTTAGATTTAACTGAAAATTTGTTTTAGAATTAGTTAAATTTTAATTTTTTTTCATATTTTCAAAAATTATAAAATATTAAAAACATCTACAAATTTTATCCTTAATCCCAAAGTTGAAAGTATTACAATTTAGTACTTATTATCGAAATTGGAAGTTTAAAAATTTAATTCCTAATCCCAAAATAGAAAATAAAAGTTGAAAATATAATTAATATTCTAAAATTATTGAATTTAAAAATCATGATGGTTGCAATACAAGTATTTTCCAAAATTGGAATTCAAAGTTGAATATTTTGTTAAATTATTAAACAATTTTCAAAAAACCCGGAATATAAAATTTTTTATTCTTTATCCCAAATTTAGGAATTTCTAAATATATTTCTCAGTTCCGAAGTTAGAAATTGAAAATTTATTTCTAAGTCCCAAAATTGGGTCGCTAAGACCGAAAATGATAGCAAAAATTTCTTAACACGTGGAATTTTTTATATTGTAGTCAAGAGGTGTTGTGGTCAAACCATCACCATATCACTA